ATAGGCTTTAAGAAACTAGAAGAAAATTTTATATTAAAGAAGATGTCACTTAGAAAGACATTTTAGCACGATAGTAATGTCATTCAACAAATCTTTGCACTCTCTCTTCTGTTTGGAAAGACACAAAGGAAGAAATGTTATCTGCAGTGCAAACATCAGGTTCTGCTCCAGGGCCTGCCACAAGCTAACTGTTCACTCTGAAAAAAATCACTGAGCTTCTCTGGGTTGGTTTTCTCATTTCTGAAATGAGTGGATTGGCTCAATGAGGTTCTATCTAGCTCTTACTCTGTGTGTGTGTGTGTGTGACAAGATCAAGTCTCTCAAGAGCTCAAAATCAGAGAAAGGAGCAGCAATCAGAAATAGCTTTTAGGCAGCAAGCTTTACCAAGACTGATGGGAAATCCCCAGGAATTCTTGACATCTCCCCACATCCGCCCCAGCAGCAATGCAGGAAATCTAGTTCACTATCTTCAGCAGACTCAATGGAACCGTTTCCTCAATGAACCCCCATGCAGCCCTGTGTACTAAGCTTCCCTTCCAGAGGCTTTTCTTTCAAGCCCTACCTCCCTCAAATGCCCCATTCCTCTTATTTCCTTCCCCTCTCTCAATCTGGTATAAAACCCAGCAATTTAATCAGCAGCATGCAATTTCCAAGGCACCCAAGTGAGTAAGGAACCAACAATGATCCGGGAAAGCATAGGCAGATCTTTCCACTGCTGACAAGCCTCTCCTGTTCAATGGGCAAAATGGACTGTTCAGTTCCATTAAGTTGTTTAAACTCAATGTAACAGATGGTTTTAGGCTTCACTCACACTAATATATTTTTGCTATAAAAAGAAAAGTGTGGTATAATTTCCAATACCTGCATCCTCTAACCACAGTCACACACTGAAAAATGATGATATTTACTTCAAATTCATGCGACTGGACATAGAACCTACATGCCTGGTCTCTGCTAACACCAGACTTTGTATTTAACATTCAAGTGCCAAGACAGCTTCTCTCACTTTCTCTCCATTCTTACACCCACTCACATACACATTTCAATTTAAAGTACTGCAGAAGTTAAGTAATTTACTCTGCTGTTTGTTCCTGTCTTGCCCAACTGCCCAAGCCAAAATTAAACATCAGTCATAACTTTGCTGTGTAGATGGCAATAGGATGCATAATCTTCCTTAAGGATATCAGATTTTCTTGGTCCCTATAAAACCATTTTTTTGCAACATATTTTCAACTTCCACCTTATGTATACTCAAAGTAGATTTAGAAATGTGAAATGCCTCTCTAATTTTTGGAAAGAACAAAGTAATAATTTGTTTCTTTTTCTTTTTTTCTTTTCTCCCCCCCCCCCTTTTTTGAGACAGTCTCACTGTGTTGCCAGGGCTAGAGTGCAGTGGCATCGTCATAGCTCACTGCAACCTTCAACTCCGCGTCCTGAGTAGCTGGGAACACAGGCACACCCCACCCTGTCCAGCTAATTTTTTCTATTTTTAGTAGAGATGGGGTCTCACTTTTGCTCAGGCTGGCCTTGAACTCCTGAGCTAAAGTGATCCTTCCTCTTTGGCCTCCCAGAGGGATTTGCTTCTTTTAAAATCACATCAAATAGGTTCAATTTAAAGCAAAGAGTTTAATATCCCTGTTGAAACCTGGAACTCTTTTCAGATAAAACCATTTTTGATGAAATACATGTTAATTTTAAAAACTCAAGAAATGCATAGGGTTTTAAATGGCTGATATCCTTAAGAGTTAATGCAACCAGAGTTATGAAGAAGATTCTACTTTATAGAGTTACACATTTTGCTAGTAGGGGAAAAGAAAAACCAAGAAAATGATTATTACTGGCTTGCGTATCTTCTACTAGCTGGTCTCTTACAAAATGACCCACAACAGGCCAAGTTAATTGGTTGACTAGGAACATTCTACTAGAAAGAAACAACAAAGTGATTACTGATAGCAGGAGAAACCCAATTCATCCTTACAACCCCAGCATTACATGGGTTATGATCCGTTCTATATATACAAATAGAAATAAAGTAGGGGGAGAGAAAGAGAAAGACAACAGGCATCATACTCATTCTATTTCTTGGAATCATTCAACGAGTTTTTTCTGAGTCAGAAAAGGCTCTTAGAAGTCAACCAGGCATTCTAACTTCTTTATTTTACATTTAAAAGCAAAAAACCCACTTGGTGGTCATTAGAAAAGAAACTAAACAGCCTATTACAGAGTTTTCAACAGGGAAAGAAAAAAGTGTAACGGAGTACTAAAAAAATAAAGTAACAATGTTTGAGGAACTAGAGTAGGTAGCTACCTACAGTTCATCTGCGACACGATTCATCAGTTGGAAATTATATGGACTGCTAAAGGTTCCAATCATTAACAGGCAATTTGGACCAAAAAAAGTGTAGCTTCCTAAAAATTTGGAGAAAACAACAAAAACTGTTATGTAAATTGACTTTATGAGAGATTTATTCTATTCGATTTTTAAACAGGTATTATTTTCATGTACATTTTGATTTAATTTAGTATTATTTATATGGACTTTCCTCACAAAATGTACGATTTCAGTAATAATAAATTGTTAACTTTTAGTTGCTCAAGAACTCGAGAAAAATGGAAGCAGAAGAATAGGATCTGTATCTTTAATCAAGGGTATGGCACCTTAAAAGTAACACAGGAGACTCAGATCTGGAGAAAGAGGACTGGTATCCTTTCTAGAGACAGAGTTTGCAATACAGAGAACTTGAAAGTATCTAAATTACTGGCATCTTTTATTTTCCAGGATATTTGGGAGAAGGTAAATATACTCCTTAGGGGGGAAATGCATGATTTTTAGTATTACTGAAACTCTGGTTAATTTACACTTTAGTGCAGGCACACACTGCATGCACCCACACAATATTAATAACTCACAAATATTCAAAGATTACAGCACCTGGAGGAGGGTAGACCCCAGCCCACAATGGGTGCAATTAATGCACAGGCCAGAAATGTGATCTCTTTCTGGACACTACTCCCCAGAGATGTAGCCCTTGGGTTCAGTTTGAAAGCCCTGAGCCATTTAGAAAGAAAGGAGCTGATAGTTTTACTGTGAGTTATTTGCTAACTAGCCCCAGAAGACTAGGATTTTAGAAGGCACACTTTGCAGTTACAACACACCCTCTGATAGACATTCTATAACTGTCAGGAAAAGGGGTTCTCACCTTGCCAATTTTGTCCCCCTTTATTCCCCAAATGGGTGTACACTTTTTCAAAAAGTCAGAGTTCCAAAATTTCTGTCTCATTTAAGTAAATTACAGTCTAGAAAAATCACAAGAGGCTCTCACTCAATGGTTTCGGTTAAGTTTCCATGGATCTAAAGTCAACCATGTTTTTGAAACAAAAATACATATGTGTGTGAAACAGAAAATCCAATAAATCATGCACTCCCCCCTTATTTTTGGATTCACAGCTATTTACCTAGGTTTACCTTTACATAATAGGTGAATTAAATCCTTTAAGCAATTATATCTTAATATAAGCGACTTTTCAAAAAATGTATTTGTAAGTGGAAAATGCAGTATTTTACTTAATACAGTTATTTTAGCACATTTCCCAACTCATAGTGAGTTCTTGGGCATTACTGCTTCGCTCTGCCTCCAGGTTTAGTATAATGGTGTCTCCAATTTTCTTGGAACCATTGTTACTTAGAAACTGTCGGTCTAATTAGTCTCCCCACTGAGAAAGAATATTTAGTTATTACTACCTTTTGGGTTTAGCAAACATTTGTTTTGTTTGGTTTAATAACAAACCCTACTCAACCCTACTGACTTTCCTTCCTGGATCACTGCAATAATTTACTTTATGTTGCTGTATTTTATTTTTCATGTTTTACCTTTTTCTCACGATACTTACAAGGCTCTCAGCGCCCGGGGAGACGGAACTGAGAGTTCGGCCACTCAGCCCCCTTAAGCAGAGGAAGCGAGTCCCACAAGCCCCCAAGTCCCTTCGGGCTGTGACCTCTGATGGCAATGGTCTCCATACTGACCCTCATAAACCTCCTGGCCCCTGACCGCTTCGCAGCCTGTTTCTCAAACACCCAGCCAAGGCTGACTTAGGTAGCGGGGCGGACCTCACCTATTCGCCAAACCTTATCTTATCTAAATCGTCCGCTTGCTCTTGCCTCGGAATATAAACGCTAGGTTCTCAATGTGGTAACTTAACCGTATGTGGGCCCTTGGCTGCCCTGGTCAGTCAGGGTCACTAGGCGTTGGCGACCTGGGCTGCACGGCGCGCCCCGCCTGCTGCCGGCAGAGGCCCCACCCAGGTGCGGCTGAGCTCCCGCCCTGCGGTCCGCGCGCCGAGGGGAGGTGACGGCGCTCGTCCACAGTCCCGGGGCCAGTCCAGCTCCGGGGCCGCATAAGGTCCAGGGATACCGGCGCTGGCCCTCTCCTGGGATCTGTCTGCTCCCCTCAGGCACGCAACCCCCTCCAAACTGGCTCTCCTCCTCCCTCTGTGGCGCGAGGTCGTGGCCAGTGCCCAATATCGCCAGCATTCCAGCCACAGCCCAGCCCCAGGCAGCCTGGCGGGGGTTTGGTAGCCACGGCTCCGGACTCCGGGGGATCCCGCAGAACCGCACCAGGCTGCCTGGGACAGGCTTTGGGTGCCAGACAGGTCTGGGCGCTCTGTGCTCCTGGTGCCCAGAGCTTCGGCAGGGAGACCCCACCCAAGAGCTGGGTAGGGGATCAGCGACTTCGCTGCAAAAGCGCAGCCCCAGCGCAGACCGGTTCTGGGCAATGATGCCCGCAGGCCCGGGCCAGTACCTCTCCCAGGCGCCCACGCTGAAAAGCGGAGCCGCGACCCCAGGCGTGTCCGCCGCTGCCACTAATGTGCCAGGTTCCCGCCGAGGCTCGCTTCCTCCGGCTGCAGCCTCTCTCTCCGCATGCTGCCGGCCCCGACCCGACAAGGCTCTGCCCTGCCGCCCCTGCCCCTCAATCCCTGCTCCGGCCCCGGCCGCGCCTCACCTGTGAGAAGCAGACAGCCCAGCAGCGCGCACAGCAGGGCCCCGGTGTCCCAGCAGCTGACCATGGTGAGCGCGACGCGGCCTTCTTGCCCGATGTCCGCGCTCCCCGCGGCGAACGACCCGGCAGTCCGAGCCCGTCCTCTCGCTCTCTGCCGCCTCTGGTCTCGCGATCTGGCCTTAAGCCCGAGAGCCCCTCTTTGCGGCTCCAGCCAGGAGACAACCACTTCCCTGGGTAATCCTGGCCGTCCCACGCCCGCTGGCCGCTGAGCCCAAGTCCCAGAGCCTGCTCCGAGCCGCCGCCGCTGCCGGGCAAGAGCCGCCAGGAGTGTCCGGCTGGCGCGCTCCGAGCCTCCTGCGGACCTCGAATGAGAGCAGCCGAGGGCGGGGGCGATTTATAACCTTTCCCCAGCCCACTTCCTACCCTGGCACCTCCTTCTAGTGACGTCAAGGGGTCCCCCACCCCTCATCCGCCTCCCCACCTACCCTTTTCTTCCTCCGGGGCTAGCTTCCCCAAGGCTCCGGAGAGGGGCGGGGGCCGCCGAGGGCGTGTGGCCCTGGGCCGAGCGCTGGTGAGGAGGTGCTGGCGACGTGGGCCGGGAAGCGCGGCCCCCGCAGGTTCAGGGTCCTAACTCCATGCCCTCCTGCCCCCACCCCTCCTCCTGCCCATCGTGCTCAGGAAATCCTTGCAGAGTCCCTCCACCCGGCTTACTCAGCTCTGGGGGCCGTCCGAAACTGGGGAGGGGACAGGGCTGAAGCTCCACTGCCCGGTCCCCGGGGCGGAAAGTCGGATCCAAGGGAAGCCGGCCGCGCCTCCGCGACGGTGTTCTTGGCACAGAGGAACGAGGCACAGTCCCGCTCTCTCCCCTTGCCTGCGCTTCACGCGCTGTCCAGCCGCCCCTAGACTGTCCCGAGACGTCTAGGAAGGCTCCTGAGATCCCCGGTACAGGCTCCTGAGTTCCCCCGGCATTGGACCAGGGGAACTGATCCTGTCCTGGCACCTTTGGGAAGACTGTGAACCCGTTCAAGTCCCAGGGGAGCGCGTCTGTGTCTTTTTCGGCCGCCTTGATTCACCCGCCCAAGTCGTTTCCTCAATCCTCTGCTTCCTAGAAGCAAAACAAGGAAAAACATCATGATACCTTTAAAAAGCAGAGACGTGAAACTGTCCCTGCAACTTGTAGGGGCCCGAGCGCTTGAACTTTGTTTCCTAAATGCTCGGAAAAGAAATCTTTCCGGTGGCAGCTTGCTACACAAGACGAGCGACTCTGTTGCTCTCCCACAAAATCCGAGTGAAATTAACTTGCGGCACTAGGTCATTTGCCAGGACATTAATTCCACGTTGTTGCTCAGTTATGTCTCCATTACCTCAGAGGCTGAAATCGTCCTGGGCTCCACCGAGCAGCCCAGTCTTGTCTCTGTAAATATCGCAGGTTAGAAAAAACAGTTTTATTGGAACCTGCTAGACAGACGGTCATGATAGAAAGGGACTGCAGTGGCTCCTAAACAGAGCCAGCGACTCTTCCTGAAGGACTGGACTACATCCCCACCTGGCAAGGTTGGGCAACCCGAAGTTGCCACATCTCGCCGCTGCACACAGAGCAGAGGCCGCGGCCGTGGGCCGCTCTACACAGGACACGCGCGTTTGGACACCTGGAGCCGCGGTCCGCGATTCCTCACGGTTCAGAAGCAGAAGGGACCGCGCGGAATCACTACTCGCCCACTGGCTTCGCTCTCTTTCTACTGTACTTTCCCCAGCGTACCTCACTGCTCTCCTGGCTCCTTTTCTCCGCCTGCCACACATCTGGTTCCTCCCAAACTACAGGATCATCCCGCCTGAACAGCTGAAAGCTGAACTGATCCTTCTCCCAACTGGTGCCCCAACCTAGGACACAGTCTGGGACACGTTCTCAGAGCCATGGTGTCCCTCCGCCTCACCTCAGAGCTGCCTTCACTCCGGCACCCACTCCCGAGGAGAAGCTGTCCTGGTTCCGCAGCACCCCACAGGGACCAGGCATTGCGTTGGGACTGAAAACGCTCTGACAGAAAGGCGTCGTCTCTGCTTTCTAAAGGGCTTGGAAGAGGGAGGCCGACAGGTAATGAGGCCTCTACCCGGATCACAGGGCTGGAGGGGGGGGGGTCCAGTCCTCCATGGAAGCAGAAGAAGAGACACATTTATTTGCAGGAAAAACTCAAGGAGGGCTTCTCAGGAGAGACACTTAGCTAACTCTGAGAAAAAGTGTGGTCCATACTTCAGGGTTTGATTTATTAACACATTTTTCCAAATGCTATGTTGATTTTTTAAAACTCACAAAGAGACAACACTTTCCAAACCTGCTGCCAGAAATGAATCTACATTGAATCTGTGAAGCTGGAACAGACGTTTGCCAAACAGCTAAAATAGTCTTTATAATCTCAGATCTAATCTAATCAGCAATATTAATATATTGCTCAATTATTAAGGTTATTAGAGTTATGGTCGAATTTAACTTAGCTTTGTATGAAACCAAGGGTGCAGTAAGAGTGATCTTCCACAAGTTTCCCAAATACTCTGTTGAAAAGCTGCAGGGTTTTTTTAGTATAGTCAGCAATTTCTTTACTACTACTTTTGTGAATTACATTAGCCTTCTAACAACTCAGAAATGTTACAGATTGTCACAAGGTTTTGCTTTAGCTTAGATATAGGGAATAAAGGGATAGCTCTCAACCCTCTGCCTAAAAGAGATAATAGCTTTGAATGAGAATGGGCTACAGCACTCTTCCAACTAAATCACTAATGAAAGAGGTTTATAGATAATACTGATGGAAAAGATCAAATTCAACACTGCCTGGTGGGTATAAAAAGCTATTGAAGTAGACTATCTGCTTGCTTCCTGCTCTCATACAAAAGAACATTTCATCTCCTGTTTGGTTAGCAAAACCAGACACTCTCTCTTGTTATCAGCTACAAACATTCTCTTGAGGTTTCTTTCTCACCCTATTCACAAGCACACTGTAGGTAAAGCCCAAAACTGAATAAGAGTATTGGGGGACCGGTGTAAGAGACAAGAGGGAATCCAGGGCCTCATCTTTCTCCAAAGGACCGAGGGTGGAGCTGCTCGGCTTGTAGTCACTTAGGCTCAGTCAGGAATTTCTTCCCAATGTGGGTTAGATAGCTTAATTCAAAAGAAAAAACACACTCCATGGCTAGACTCTGCATAGCACAAATATGTATGCTTGGATACAAGAACCGAAGATCTTATAAAACACTGCTGTGTTATATGAGAAAATGCTTCACATTGCATACCTTCCAGAGAGATCAGGCTCCTTATTCTGAGAAGCACACACCCCACCTCTCTGTAGGAAGTTCTGAGTTCACCAAGCAGACACATTTATGGCCATACTTTATCAGATACTGATAAGGTCATGGCTCAAAAGTTCTCCTTATGGCAATCTACCACTATAGCTAAAATCTCCCCATTTTCAAAGAACTAAACACCTGGTCCTGGTTTTAAAACCCATTCACCTCATATACTGAGCAAACTCATGGGTTTCTGTCCTACATACGTCTTTTCTGCAGCCTCAATACCTACGTCTTGTTACTTGCTCTTCAGCTACCATGCTCTAGAAATCCCTTCCAGCTCCCTTTAATGTTCCAGCTTACCAATTTCCCAGCCGGTGACGTACTCAGGATTGAAAATGCATCTCAACTATTATTTCCCTCCTCGAGATAGTTTTTCTTTCAGACATAGAGAAAAGCCTGTGGGAAGGCACAGAAGTGGGTGGGGAGGGAGAATAGTTTAGATGGGAAGATCCAGAAAGGGAGGATGGCACAGAGGACACCCCCACCCAGAGATGAAGCCAGCATCATTGAGCTCAGGACGGGAACCGTGTCTGGGTACCCCGGTTCCTCTCATCCCTGTTGGGGACACATCCATCTACTTTGGACTGGCATTACAGCTCACAACAACCTCCAACTCCTGGGCTCAAGCAAGTCTCCTGCCTCCGCCTCCCAAGGAGCTGGGACCACAGGTGCCTGCCACAACCCCTGGCTATTTTTTGGTTGCAGCCGTCATTGTTGTTTGGCAGTCCGGGCTGGGGATTCGAACCTGCCACCTTAGCTGTATGTGGCTGGTGCCTTAGCCGGTTGAGCTATAGGCGCCGAGCCTGAATTCAGGATTCTTGCTGCTCTTTGAGGCTCTGTGTCCCTGGGACAGAGATACCATATACACTTCTGTTACGGGAACCGAGGATCAAAGGAGCCTTTTCTGTCAGCGCTGTCATACCTTGGACCCTTCTGGAACTTACTCCTGGTTAAAATCCCTGAGGCTTTTTCATGAGAGCTGTTGTCTGGCTTTCCTTCTGCGGTCACAGCTTTTGATGACTCATGTTGCAGACCCTTATACATATGCTTTCAAAATTTCTTGTTTGTTTTAGCCTGTCGTTCCCGCCAGTTGAAATCATCTGGGCCTCTGATTCTGCCATTCAGCGGATTTGCTATGCTTCCTGTTTCAAATCATCCACAAAAACGATAAATGCGCCTCTGGATCATTGTGAGAATCATTGATGAGGACAGAACTGCATGAATGAATGAATAAATGAATGAATGAAAGTAGAGATCTGTGGGGTTGAAGAAACCAAGGAAGGAATTATTCCTTTGTGTCATTATCTCTACCTGTATTTTCTCCAAAGAAGATTACATATTAACTCTCCAATATTTACAATGTTGCTATTTAGGAACCACTGATGGTCCTAGCAAGAGGAAATAAGACAGGTGGGTCTTATTCAAGGCATAGCTAGGAGAGTAAAAAACAAAAACCAAAAACACCCAGACGGAGATAATTAGAGAAGCAAGGGGCAGGACAAAGCAGAGAAACAAGTAACACCTAAGGAAACACAGCCATCCAGGGAAGTGTGTGTGAGGTCCTCTGTCTGACCATCACCCTTAACCAGCTCGCCTAAGGTCAGTTTTACTCCAGCCCTTAACTGTCAGCCGTTGGCTTTTTCCCTTATTCTTTTTTTTTCATATTTTATCAATTTTAATATACTCTTCCAGTCCTAAACTATAACATTTTAGAAAAATGAAAAGATAGGGAGGTCTGGGTGAGTCATAATTCCATCATTTCACTGGAGCCACTGTGATCATCCTGGGGTATTTCCTTCAAGCCTCTTTCATAGAGTGCGTTTATCTTTTCATGTTTCTATAGAGACTTAATAACTATTATGGCTAATAGCTGCGAACTGTTATCCTACTGCTAGACATTCTAGTTTCTGCATTGTAAATAATTCCCAAGTAATTTTAACTTGACACTGGAATGTCTTTTCGTCAGTTCGATGCACACACACACACACACACACACACACACACATCGATATCCCTACTTCA